GTGGGTGTGTGGGGGTCCCCTGGGGAGGGGAGGGGGGTGGGGGGGGGAGAGAGAGAGACTTCAGAGAAGAAGACGCCAGCGTCACGTGTGAGCGCTGAAAACACGTGTCAGCGGGCGGGGGAGGCACCGACGGGGGACGCCCTGCCCCCGTGCAAACGCGCCCTTTCTCTCCCTCCCCAAATAAAATCTCCTCCAGAAAGGAAAGGGTTGAACGTCCTTCACCTGGTGGTGATCCCGGGAGTTCATCATCACTCGCTCCACCTGCGGATGATTGATCAAAAGGAAGGGGCTGGGCATTGCTGGGTCACACTAAATTAAAGAGAGAGAGAGAGAGACAGATTTAGTTTGTATTTTACTTGTGGTTTAATCGGTTTATCTTTTGTTGTATTTTAATTGTATTTTAATTCTGGTCAGCCGTCCAGACCTTTGGGTAGAGTGGGCGGCATATAAGTTAAAATAAATAAAACAAATAATAAGAAATAAATAATAGTAGCCCATCAAGTCTGGTCTGAAGATCCAAACTGATGCAAGCCTGGATGCCCCGTTTTTTTTAGATTTGGGATTTTTGCTTTAAACTGAGTTTCATTTGTTATTCCTGGTTTGTGGTGGGTGTGTAACACCTGGATTTTGCGCAGCAGGTTTTTTTGGGGGGGCGTCCCCTTTTTCAGGTTGCAGAGCTTTCTCTCCCTTGAATTTCAGGTTTGCCTGTCTCTGGACCTTAAGACCTCCTGGGAATCTTTTTATAGCCTCTTGTGTCTCTTCCGGGTGGTTGTCAGAAAGGGAGAAAAGTTGGCAGCATTCAGCAAAAGAAGTCATGGCCGGTCCGTAGCCAGTGCAACAGAAAGGAGCCGTAATAAGGAAGGGGCCAAACAGGAAGGAACATAACGGGACATGCAGGGGGCCAAGATGCAAACTAGCTACTTATTAAGCCACTTTACTTCCTGTTTATTTTTACAGGGAAGACGTATTTCATCTTTTGAGCATTTACCCCTAACATAGCTCTGCTGACACATTTTCCTAGTTACTCTGCCTCCCCCAATTATATCCTTTGCTTTTTGCGTGTACAATTTCTTCGTTGTCTTCTCTGTTTCATATCACTTTAAAAATATGCAGGGGAAAATCAAAGAATATAGAAATGTATTGATTTTATTTATTGAAAATATTTTTTACCCCACCTTTTCTCCTTGAAAAAGGGCCCAAGGCGGTTCACATCATTAAAAGACGATATTTAAAGTTGAAAAGAATTATACAACAGTGGTTAGCATCATTAAAAAGCAATAATTAAAATTTATGAACAGTGATTCCCTCCACCCAGCCACAAAAGGAGGTGCTTAGAGAAGCTTAAAAGTGCTGTGTTTTGAATCAAGGCCATAGAAATAAACATTTCCACCACTCTTTATTGGCCTGGCTATATGTCAGTTGAAACAGGAAATCTTATCATGTTTCTGGGAGTTATTTGCATAGAGATTGAACATTATTATATATAGCCCTCGCTATCTGAAACTTGTTTTCTTATTGTTGTTCAAAAACACCAGACATAGTTAAAAGTATAAAAACATTGACTGGTATTATATAACATACAAGTTTTAACCAAAAACCTAAGCATCTATTACATATCGGCGCAGTATGTATGCTCTTCCTAATATTGCTGGTTTTTGTAGCTCTGATGGTGTGATTTCTGAGATGTGTGATTGCTTATAGTTACTGTGTGAAATTTCTTGTTATTGTTACCAAAGCCCTGATGATGACAGGGACCACTGAAGTGTGTTTCTTCTGGAGGCAAGATGTCTCTGTACTTTGTTAGTTTTTCCAATTCTTTATTTTCAACTCTGGCATCCCTTGGAATTGCAATGTCAATTATCTGGACATTTCTTTGTTCTGTCACTGCTACCGTATGTCTGGTGTGTTATGTGTCTGTTTGGATCCAGAAATCCCACAAGATCTTGACTTCCTCATTTTCTCACACCTTCTCTACCTGATGTTCCCATGGGTTTTTGGAGGCTGGCAAGTTGTTGTTGTTGTTGTTGTTGTTGTTGTTGTTGTTGTTGTTGTTGTTGTTGTTGTTGTTGTTGTTGTTAAATAATAATTTATTGTTTGTTTGTTTATTATTATTATTATTATATTATGGAACAATATCAAGAAATTTCACACAGTACTATAAGCAATTGCACATCTCAGAAATCATCAACAGAGCTTCAAAAAAGGCCATATTAGGAACAGATATGCAGATATCCTGCGCAGATATGCAACAGATACTCAGGTTTTTGGTTAAAGCATGTATCTGTTATATAATACTAGTCAATGTTATTATAATTTTGGTTATGCCTGGTGTTTTTGAACAACAACAAAATGTCCTCTGCTGATATTTAACAGCTAGTTGGTTAAAACGTGTATGTGTTATATAATACCAGTCAGTGTTTTTATAATTTTGATTGATGGTGTTTTTGAATAATAATAATGTGCCATCAAGGCAATTGTGACATAGGACAACCCCTGTTCAGGATTTTCCAGGTCCTCGGAAATAGTTGACCCTTCCCTTCCTCTAAGGCAGTGGTCCCCAGCCTTGGGCCCATATGTTCTTGGACTTCAACTCCCAGAAATCCTGGCCAGCGGAGGTGGTGGTGAAGGCTTCTGGGAGTTGTAGTCCAAGAACATCTGGAGGCCCAAGGTTGGAGACCACTGCTCTAGGGGACGCCCTGGGACTGTGCGGCTTGCCCCCAAGCCCACCGGGCTGTCTCCTCACAGGAGGTCCTTATGGATATTGCCAAAAAAAGGAAAAAACCCCCACTATATGAAAATATGAAACCCATCTGGGCTCAAGAAAGGACTCGTAAGTTTTGAAAGCGATGAAGATGGCGGAAAAGATTAACTTGAACAATTTCTAAATCGAAGGGAGATGCCCGACGTTGTAAATAGGGGTGCCCAAATTACTGGATACTTAGGGAGTTCAGAAGCTACTGTAGGGGGCTTGCGCCTTACCCAGCAGGCATCCTTAGTGCCAGGAAATGCGCTGGTAAGAAACCAAAGGACCTGTTTTAAGCCAGACTTCAAAATAGTTTCTTTGCTCTCTTGGGCAATACAGCCCAGCTGCTGCGGTGACACAGTGCTTTCTGGAGTATCACCAGGTTCTCCGATGCCTGCTTTCCATGAGCTTCGGCATCTCCCAGTCCTCTTAACGATTACAATATAAATTTTACAAAGGGGGAAAAAACCAGAAAGAGAGAGAGTTCTGCAATGTTGCAACACGAGCAAATGAATTATGCTGTCCACGTTTGTGAACTGCAGTCCATTTCATTAAATGCACAGAGCGTTTCTTAACGGTATTGTATGCACAGTTTGGAAGTTGGAAGAAGACTTTAAACTGAGATGAGTGGGAAATTAAACAGAGTGAGTCTTAAATGGCTTTTCCAGACAGCACCATGAATTTTGAGAATGCTGGCCGATATGAGAGTCCAAAATGGAGCTCTATGCCACCGTTGGCTGTGGTTGGGTATCGCTGCTCTCCTTCCACGTCAATTGCATTATCTGTAAACTCATTCCAGATTTTAATTAGGGAAGAGTGACATGGAAACATCCCCGAGCTAGCTGTCAGCCTGAGAATTTGTCCGATAACTGATGCAGAACTTAATGACTGCATTGGCCTTTGACATTGACTCCCGTCATTGTTTGGTTAGCCAACCAGGAAGTTGGCCACCGAGTCAATGATTTACCAAGCATCCAAGCTGAACTCTTATGGTGATCTCTCTCTCTCTCTCTGTTATTTTTTGGCTAAGCAACAAAATAGGAAGAGCAAAATCCAGGTATTCTGGATACAATAAAGACCTAACTATTTCTCACTGTGCTGGGAAGCATTTTGGGTAGCTCTGGTTTGAACGTCAAGATAATACCAGAGAGATCTAAGTTCCCATGTGCATTCAGCTGAAAAGCTCACTCCAACTCTTAGGACCATCGTTCTCATTCAGATGCCCACTAGGTCTCCAGATAAAAAAACAGATAAATTCTAAGTTCTGTGCAGGTCACACAGCCTACCACTCACTCCTTAACCTGAGCTTTTCCACTCAAAAAGGACATTTTCTTACTGCCTGGATTCTCCTTGTCCATAGCTGACATTGAATTAAAACTCAGCGGCCAGCCCATGTCATGGATGGCGTGATGCCATCTTATCCTTCCCAGCGGTGCTTCGTAGTTTGACACTCCACTGGATCATTGTGATGTAGTGATTAAGACTAAGGTTTTGGAGACCTGGGTTCAGCTGTTGACTTAATTGTGATACTCAGAGAATCATCTTAAAGCAATCATAATTGTCTCACTCTGACCTTCCTAACGGGTTTTGTGGTGATACGGCGGGGGATAGGAGAGTCGTGAATGGGTTAACCTCCTTGGAGGACTGTTGGGTAGCTCATTGATTAAGGTCTCTGGCTGCTGAGCCAGAGGTTGGAGGTTCGATTCCCCCACTAGGCATCCTTGACGGGGGATGGACTTTATGATCCATAGATTACTCCTTCTGGCTCTGAAGTTCTAAGGTTATTATATTATTATAAAGTTAGGTTATAACTGTAACAAATATTGTAAATGAAACAATTAGGATTGATTGCCTTTGTATGCTCCTTGCCGTGCGCTTGCTTTGATGATGTTCTTCTCTGGATCTCAAGGGTCGCATCCACATGCCGGATGTGCCAGCTGAGACGGCCTACGACGTTCTCCACGACACAGAGTATCGCAAGAAATGGGACTTGAATGTTCTTGAGACGCACGAGATTGCCCGCCTTTCGGACAACGCTGATGTAGGCTATTATGCGTGTGAGTGAGGTTGGTTGGGAAAAGCTGAAAATAATGAGATGATTAGACCCGGTAAACAAACAGTGCAATATCACCAGTGGTGCCATCAAGGTCATGCTTAGGAGCAAATGTACCTATAAATCTTCCACCAAGTACATCAGGGATGTGCATTACTGGTTTCTAAAAGGGTGAGGCAACCCCCCCACACACACACACATGCAAAACTTCAAGTAAATTATCTAAATTGCATAAGATTTTGCACAGCACAAATCCCAGCTTTCGATTTTACTTTATATCATGTCATTTCCCTCCTTTTCTTTTCACTAGTTTCCTCTTAATTTTACAAACAATACTCCTTCAGGGGGTCTTAAGCATTGAAGATGATACTACAGTGTCCAGCATGCTGGATTTCTTTGTTTTTATTTAAACGAGCGAGGCTTGTAACTCTTGAGACTCTGAAGGTAGACTTGAAAATATGTGTAGAGAAGTTGGAAGTTTGGCAACATGCTGCAGAATTCTTGATCTCTTTCTGTAAGTTGCAAATGTAGAACAAAGTCGGTGTAGAGTATTGGATTAGGGCCATGTGAGGTAGTCTCCACATTGCCTTGCCTACCTAGAGATCTAACTGGGTCTCCTTGGTTCAATCACCGTCCCCTAGTCTTGTCGTACCTCTCAGTTCTGAGAAGAATACAAGGCTGCCAGGAGAACGATGTACTCCACTCCTAATTATAAAAAGGGGATGGGAAAATATATAGGAAGAAATGTGTGAGACAACTGTTTCATGCAAATTCTGTATTAATTAAGCCTCTGGACATGAAATTGAAGTAATTTTTCCCCCTGCTTGGCTAGGGAAATGTCCAAAGCCTTTGAAGAACAGAGATGTGGTGACATTGAGGTCTTGGCGAGTCTTGGACAAATCTTACATGATCATCAATTTCTCCGTCAAGCACCCGGTAAATGAGGAAGAGGTGGAGCGAAATGGAGGTGGTGGGGGGTTAAGCCCATATAGACGGGAGGGGGATTAATCAAGAATCTGCTCTGAGGTTTCAGCAGAGAAGGCTCCTGTAGATGGATTATCGTCTCTTCCTCTGCAGTTGTGTTGCCGCTCTTGCGATATTTGTGTGATACGATTGCTGATCTAGAAACCTCAGTGGGCTGGGAGTGGATGATTGTCGGTCAAAACCAGCAAACCCTTGCTGGACGGGTTCCTTCTTGAGAGACAGCTGCTTGAGTAGGATTTAGTAAGGGGTTGCTCTCACTTGCCACCATCACTGAAATACCACCGCTGGCAGAAGCGCCATGCTGTATATTGGCCACAGGAAATCAAAAGCTGAGGCTCTTGAGCTTTCTTTCCCCTTTCGGAGGTTGAAGGAGCACTTTGCAGACTGGCTGACCTTCATGGTTCCTGAAGGCACTGCAGCACCCTTCAAACCATAGAGGGGTGTTCCCGATGACAACGAAATATCTGTGGGAAGGGTGGGAAGCTTGGCCACATTCGTTGAGTTTTGCTCATGACAGTAGGCAAGACCTTCTTCCACCACCGCCTCCAGGAAGTGGTCCAGTTCTGACCCAACTGGTTATTGGCTTGACTTTCTTCTTTTGCAGAAATACCCTCCACGCAAAGACCTGGTTCGAGCCGTGTCACTCTTGACCGGATACTTGGTACAGTCCACTGGACCCAATAGCTGTAGTTTGACATACCTGGCACAGGTGGACCCGAAAGGTAAGTGTGTATCCTGTAGCCAAATAGAGGCTCCTTATTGAATTTGATAGGTGTGAAAGACAGATGGGAGACTGCCCAGGGATATAGAGGGTCTATATCCTGACGCCCTTGGAAGGCCAGGGCTTCCAAGCTGAGCTGGCAGCGCTGGAGCAGATGAACCAAGGATGTAGCTCCATACATTTCTGTGTCATGAAACTAGCCAACATGCCTTGTTGCTGCTCAGTTCAGGGAAGCTGGAGGTGGAATAAGCAGGAAAGGCGCCCCTGTCAAGGGGCACTTGTGGCTCCGCCCCCTGAGCATGTGGCTCCGCCCCAGGGGCGTGTTCTTTCACTCTGAGCATCTGATATCGGAATTGTTCACAAATGCCGGTTTGAATTCTCTCCCTCCCTCCCTCTCTGTTTATCTTGTGTCTCTCCATGCTTTCTTCGCACGAGGGTTTTGTCGTCTGCTTTTAGCTGCTGTGGCTCTTTCCTAGATGTCGCAGCGTTACTTAAGCCTTTCCGTTCTCCAGCAAATATATTTGTTCCCAACCTGGGTTTCTCCCCTCCCTTCTGTTTCTCGAGAGGTCGCTTTCGGGTAGCAGTTTCATTCGGTTCGTGGGCACTGAGTTATGCCGCTTGATTTTTCTCAGGAAGCTGCTGGCTTTTGCTGTGCGGTCCCCTCGTTGTGTTTTCTTGGCGAAATGGACAGGTTACGCATAACAGCCTTTGTTTGCTCAGCTCTCGGCCTCCTTTCTTGGCCCATGAGGGGGCCTTGGTTTGCTCTTCAGCTGCAGTAGAGGCTGAAGGTCTGAGAAGTATTCTTAAAATTTAGTTCCTTTTGAAGTTTCTTTGCCTTTTTAATGGAGTGTGTCTGTAGGTTGGTTTGGGACGAATCCTGCCAGGATGCGCTAAAGCTGAGCTGTGTTTCTGTTCAGACAATTGATCAACCAACAATGTTTGTGTGTGTGTGTGTGTGTGTGTGTGTGTGTGAATGAATTCAGGGACAGGAGGGACTAGTGGACTAGATTCTGCCCATTGTAGTGTGTTTTGCACATTGATGCTTGCTATACCTTTCCTCTTCCCTTTATTGCTCTCCCCTGCCTCCTGGTACATCTGATGATCGGACGGAAGGATTTAAGATTGCTCTGTCAGGAACCACGACCAACTAGGGTGTCTAAGGGTGTGTTTCCTCCCTTTTCTTCTCTAAACTTAGGATCGTTGCCCAAGTGGGTTGTCAATAAAGCATCTCAGTACCTGGCGCCAAAGGTAAGTAGCACTTCCTCTGCGCAGATGAGTCAGTTCCCTTGAAGACAACATGAGTTCGCTTTACGCGTACTTTTAAGAAGGAGCCCTATTCAAGTGTGTGCAAGTCGTCTCCAGCCTGGTGGTTTAGTGGGAAAGCAGGATACGAATTTCATGTGTCCACGCCTGCATTCCTTCTTTGGGATCAAATTAAAGGAGGGGAAAGTCCCGGCGGAGAGTGGCCTTCTCAAGAGGAGAGCCTTCCTTATGCCTGTAAAGCCAAGACCCCCAATTCAGTGGGACACCCGTTTCTGCAGGGGAATCATTTCCAAGCCTCCCTTGGCGGATGCAGAAAAGCCGTGAGTGCTATGTGAATAGTGAGTGCTATGCATGTTACCATAGTCTCTCGAGACTGAAGGATGTCTACTCTGAAGTCTTATTAAACATGATCAGCTGCTTCAGTAGCTTCCTCAAAAGTAGTTTTCTTCATTAAAGAAAAGGTGAGCTCTCTTTCCCAGCAGCTTCCAGAAGCACATGCAGTACACACAATTCCTGAATGTGCATACACAAACATTCACATGGTTGAAATTACAACTCGGCCAGAAGTGGACAAAAACAACACTTCCCCTTTCACTCAACGATGGGGTTAGGGGCGCCGGACCCCTGTGTAGTTCAAAATCTGTGTACAGCTCACACGGAGGGAGATCTGTTTTCTCTGTTGGAGTTCTCTTCTATAGCATTGGCAATCCTTTCCATGCAGTATCACGGTCTTGTGTGTCATGAACCTTAAAGGTCCTTACGACTCCCTGGATTAGAAATGTTACGTTTGTAGACAACACTTGTTGACCCCTACGGTGTTGAACTCAAAAGATGGCCAACGGCACAGATTGTTTGGAAAAAAATATCCAGATATAACTAAAGCGTGCCGTTCAAACCCATGCAATTTAAGCAAGAAGTGTGCTCCCACTTCAGTCTTGCTAATGTTCCAAAATCATCCTCTTACGGCTCCCGGAGAATCCCACAAGGAGAGGTTTGGCTCTTGGGCCCTCCAGAGTCGACCCCCTGAGATGTGTAAGACACTTCAGGCATTTCTTGTGAACTAGTCGCCAGTTCGCTTCCCCCCCCCCGCCCCGTGCGTGCACACATGAAAGTTTGCTGGCTTTTTTACCTACAATGGGAAGGGCCGTTACTGCCCTATTCTTTGCCTGCAAAATGCCTTGGACGGTTCTTGGGTTTTCGATGTTCTCATGGCATTTTTTCCCCAATTCTCTTCTTTCGTCACCCTGCCTGTCCCTGGGGGGCCCAGCTGATGAAGAAGCTGCACAAAGCGTGCCTGAAGTATACTTCCTGGAAGCAGGAGCATCATGCCGACACAAAGCCCTGGCTGTACCCGGAGCAAAACCAGCTCCCTTACATGGCCATCTCTGACCTGTCTCTACAACACGCTTCCTCTTTGGAGAACATCGACGAGAGCAGCTTGATGGAAGCCAGAGATGAGAAGGGGGACACCAGCGGGTCAGAGAACTGACGATCCAGGAGCAAGCGAGCTCTGTTTGGGAGCCAGGAGATTTATGCTGCTCTGTTCTAGTGCCTAGCCCACTTAGTTTTACAATAAATGGTGGGAACTTAACGTGTGTGCAGTTTCTTTTTCTTGGATTGCAAGCTTGCGCCTGGAGACGCCTTTCCATCCACCCTTCCCGACCATGTTCTGAGACTTTCAGATTCTCGCCGTTGGTCAACAAACAGGACAAAGGGTGCTCTGAAAATTATTAGGATCGCCTTGCGTTCTTTCTAGGGATGTAAATCTTCACTTGTCTTGTCATCACAGCCAACACCGATGCCATCATCCTTTTCTGCTGCTGCCGGGAATGTGTAAAAAAAAAAACATCCACTCGGTCCTGTTCTTTTTATTTAGATTTCTACCTTGCCCATCTAGACCAAAGGTCTACTTTCTAGGTGGCACTTACGCTTAGGAGAACAAAAATGGCCGTAAAAAAGGGGTGGATATTCACATGTGAGCCTCTCAACCTTAGCAGAAGAAGGGAGGATTAATTTTTCTGTACTGGATCCTCGGCTGTTTGGTTGGGGCAGTTGATCCAGGGCCCCTCCCCAGTTATGAGCCAAGTTCTGGAGGGGTGATATGGCCGTGGTTTCTGGTATAAACTGAAATATCCCTTCCTTCCTTTCCTCCATCCTTCCATCCATCTTGCTCTTCATCTTAACAAGTGACCAGACCACAGCGCAGGATGGCTGGCTGGGTAGAGAATAAGCTCAGTGGGGAATGGATGTCGATGAATGCCTCCAATATTCTTTTTTTCCCTGCTCAGTGTAACAGTTCTGGACTTCCCCCTCTTCTTCGTCATCTCTTGGATTACAGTACTTCCAAACAGCAAGCAACCAAGAGCAATTTTTTTTTTGCTTATATTGATCTAACCCTATGAACGTTAGTGGTCTGGTCAGGCCCTAATCGGCACTCTTGTGAGGGAACAAATCACTTTCCGTTGCCTTTTAAAGATCTACTTTTACAGAGTTCATTAAGGAGAACTGTTACCAATGGTTCTATACCCCCCAGAGACACATCCACTCCATTCATCTGAAGAAATGGGCTTGGACACACAAGCTTATGAAAAAGAAAAATGAGTTATAATCTTTTAGCTGCTACATTACTATCTC